AGGGAAGGCAGCTCCTCCTGCCCACCAGAGGCTCCCCTACTTCAGAACCTTACCTGGCATGCCTCCCCGAGTTGCCCAGACACGCCCGACACCCTCGAAGCCAGATCGACGGCGACGACGGCAACGCAAAGCTGCACACACTCTGACGCCTGCTCCTCTCCTTGGCCGGGGATCGTCAGATGGGGTAGAACGAGGAGGATGTGTGTGTGGGTGGGGGGGTTGATGGCATGACCACATACAGTCGGACTTGGTTGGACAGGACACGCGAGAGGACACAAGAGCCTTCCGAGGGCCACATTGCCACAGGCATGTAAGAGGCATGGGTCGCGATACACAGGACACACGAGTACCCTTGATTTGGCAGGGTCGACCTAGTGATCTGGGCCGACTGTCGTGTGATTTGCTTCTTTCCACGCGCCGAACCTCGAGCGGGTGGCGCATTTGACCTGGAGTCAGCACACTTTCGCATCCGCTGAGGCCCGCGTTGGCTGGAACGGATGAGAGAGGTCAACACGTGGCCAAATCTGCACGAGAGGGAGGTAGGAAAGGGAGGAGGATTTGGAGGAGGAAGAGGAGGAGAAAGAACAGGGACGAGGTGGAGGGATGGGGAGGGAGGACGAGGACGACGTGGACGAGGAGCTGGGAGTAGGGGTGGAGGGCGGAGCTGGAGGAGGAGGAGGAGGAGGAGGAGGAGGAAAAGAAGGAGGAGGATGAGGATGAGGTGGAATAGGAGGAGGAGGAGGAGGAGGAGGAGGAGGACGGAGGAAGTGGAGGCTCCATTTTGGCTCAAGTCTGGAGGCATTGCTGGAGGATTTGTGTATTTGGTGGGGGGATCTGACGGCCCCACCAGTCTCTTTGTCGTTCGCCCGCTAGATGTTCACATGAGTTTCCGTGCAAGGTGCGCTCATTTTCACTGCTACTTCGTCGGATGGTCCTTGTTCCTGCCTTCTCTTATCAGCTTTTGACCAAGGGCGGCGCAGGATCAGATCACAAAAGGCGGTGGGCGTGGACAAAACTGACAGTCGTTCGGCATGGCGTTCCCGTCCTTTGGGTGTAAAATGAGTCGTCCCAATTCCGTTTGGTACAGGAATTGTGCCATTGAGTTCTTTGGTTTGTCTGCTGTCGCTTTGGCACTCACTCCTGCAAAACAGGTCCATGGCCTGGAGCCGTGTGGTTCGGGAGCGGAGGCAACGGAGAGAGCGGAGGCGAGGGCAGTATGCAGGTTCGGAGCATCAGTGGTCGAATTGGTATCGTGACAGTTATTATGATCAAGATGGGGTACCCCCATGCGTCTCCCAATTAAGTCCAGATCGCACTGGTGAAGCAAAATGAATTCTGTTTTTGTTCCTACAAGGCGGGGGGTATGTTTTTGCGGGAAGTGCTATGCTGACATCGTGCATCACATGGAGACCGCCATCTTGATTGCTGGCCTCGCAACTCGCGTGGACGTGCAATCCTCTGCACCTCAACTGCCATTAGCGTCGCAAGGCTTCTCCGCGACTGCTTTGTAGTCCCTCGTGAAGGTCGACGTCCTCGATGACGTGGAGTGTGCAGAGTTCGAGGTTTCGGAGTACGACAAGCAAGAGTTTGGGAAGCGCATGGTGTTCCTGCAGAAAAGGTGCCCAGGACACGGCCAAGTCGTTGTTCAGAGACCCGAGTCATTCGGGGTGGGGGCGGTCATGGGTATTCACAGATTCGCGGCTCCGGGGCCCAACTGGAGTTACCCCGAACCGCAGTTGTCCCGGACAGCTCGGGTGTTCAACCCTCCTGAATCATCAGGGCTGGGGGCAGTCAGGGGGAACTGCAGATTCGCGCCTCGAGGGCCCAAGCTGGAGTCGCTCCGGACCGCGACTGTCCCGGATGATTCGGGCGCCCACGTTGTTTGGGCAGGTGGCAGCTGCAGCCCGACGGGCCAGAACCTCACAGAGCATCCCGCGGTCGTCTCGCGCGCAAGCGTCCGAAGACAAATGGGGTCGGAAACTGGAACATATACATTACCAGTGGCGGGCTGTTCTTTAATCCCAGGACTTTTTGAGGGTCGGGGACGACGCGCGTGGGTGGTGTGGTGTATACCTGTTTCCCCGATGTCCCGGGGAAACGACGAGAAGTGTATACGCCAGATCCCCGTATACACCAGGATCCGCTCTCCAGTGCAAGTCTCCATGCAGGGCTGGAAAAAACGTCGGCGCAGGATCCGCGTGCCGGTGCGAATCTCAGTGCGGGGCCGGAAAAAAGCGTCGGCGCGTAGAGTTCGGCCCCTTCGAATGGGGGGCAAGCTGGGCCAGGCGGAGGGCCTCGAGCTGCCGAGCCGGGGGAGGGGGCCCCGCTTCGGCGAGGGGCTGTGGCAGCCGAGAGGCGCGGGCGGCTGCTCCGCCGCCGCGGCGCCTCGGCTTGCGCCCCTCTGCCGCGGGCGACAGTCTTGCGAGAGTGGACGCATGAAATGAGAGGAAGCATGCTGCCAAATAGTTTTCAGATGTCTAAAAGATGTTGCAGACATGATTTGAATATGTAGGATACATGTTTGAAACACTGTTAGAACATGTTTTACATGGTTTACCGCATCTTTACTTGAACGATTGGATTGTTAGAGTGTCCATTGTCATGGCATCCACAGAGAGGGCTTGGCATCACTTCAGGGTCCCCAGTTGCGACGGGTCAGCCCTCGCCCACGCGCGCCCGCGCTCGCCTGGAGATGCCGCGTTCTAGTCTGCGCGGCCAACGGCGTCTGCAGGGGGCCCATCCAGGGCGCGTCGCTTCCAGCGTGGCGCCATTTTCGTGGGTTGGAATCTCTGCGGGCTGTCGGCGACGTCGGAGATGGATGGGGGGGGTCTCGTCGTGACTGCTCGCTCGCACGAAGGAGGCGTCTGGCCTCTTCACCGGCGCCGACATGTATGTGCTGGCAGATGGCCGCGCTGTTGCCGTGATGGTGCACGCGCGAGGACGCGCGGCCTTGTGCGCGATCCCCCTCCACTGTAACCGAGAAGATGGTCTGTCCGAAGCGAACGCTCTATCCCCCAGGCTGCGCGCGTGTGTGCGGGCGGTGGTTTTCGGAAGGCGTTGGGCGCGGGGTTGTCGCTGGGCGCGACTGGAACTTGAGCCCCCGGCCCGAGCCCCCGGCTTGCACGGGCGTCCTCGGCAGGTCCAGGGGTCCCCGATCGGCCCCGCACGGCGCGCTCACCCCCGCGACGTTGGGGGGTGCAGTCCGCGGACGTGGAAAGCTCTTCTCCCGACTTGCCCCGCGAGCCCGCCAGCTTGCGCTGTCATGTATCGTTTTCTAGTTTGCAGGCTGATCTCTCGGCGTCCGCTTGGCTCCCCCGTGGCCCCCCCGTGCGGGTCCTGCTCCTCCGGGGGGCTCGTTTGGCGATTTGTGGGCTTGGCTGAAGTGATGTATCAAGCCGTCGTGGCGATTAATTGTAACAAAGACAGAACCTGGCTTGCGTCGGGATGCCCGGATGCGCCAGGCCAATGCTGGTGAGCGAAATTTCCGTTCGTTCTCGGGGGTCGCCCTCGATTTGGGCAGGAGGGCTAAAAGGCTCCAGCTGCATTGGGCGAGTACCCCGAAGGAGTGTGGTCACGAGTCCAATCCAGACCCTGGGCCATCTTATGACTGACAGGCGGCTTCGTTCTTCCAAGTGTTTTCTGAGCGAAGGTGTCGTTTTCGAAAGAGGTCGCCAAGTTCTGGCGGTGCTGGTGCAACCGACCGCGTCTGTCGCAGTGGGCGATCACTCGGAGTGGGCCAAGTTATTTCGCTCTGCCACATGCTTAGCTAGACAAAGCCTGCGCTCGACGTTTGATCTTGAGCTCAGCCATCTTCAGCCATCATCAGACATCGTCAGAGCTCAGAATGAGGAGGAGAAGGAGGAGGAGGAGGAGGATCAGGAGGTGGAGGCAGGAGGAGGAGGAGGAAGGGGATGAGGAGGAGGAGGTGGAAGGAGGACGACGAGGAGGAGGAGTCTGATAATGAGAAGGGAGGATTAGGAGGAGGAGGAGGAAGATGATGATGATGATGATGATGATGATGATGATGATGATGAGGAGGAGGAGGAGGAGGAGGAGGAGGACCAGTGTAAACCCAAGACTCATCAACGACTTTGGGGTAAACCCTCCCTCCAAACTCCCTCTTTCGAGGCCCCTTCAATGTTGAAGTGCCCCGTTGGGAGACAACCGTGAAGACCCTGAAGCATGCCAGATACCGTTCTCGGGACTCCAACGCCACGAATCAGCATGATATTTGCTATTGGTGATCTTGAATCGTCACAGAACCATTATTGGACGTCAACGCCGCGAATCAACTTAACCTGTGCGCCCTGGCATAATTAGCGGAGTCGTTCGAGAACTCACTTGGGGTACGTGGAACATGGTCATCCGTGAAGTAGTTGTAAATGCTTCGGACGAATGTGCGCGGCTTTCAGGCGACAGCCACATTTCGAAAACGACCCGCCCTCCATCCGTTAAGCTCGTGCAATTTTTTGAAACGAATGTGCGATGCGCATCTTGAAAACGACCCGCCTTCAATCCGTGAAGCACATGCAAATTTGAAGAACGAGTGTGCGCGGCGCTGGGGCGAGAACCACATTTTGAAAACCCCCCGCTCTCCATCCGTGAAACAGTAGTCATTTTTGAGTTTCGGGGTCATAAAATGTTAGGAGGTGTCATGCGACATGCCCAGCCCGCCCTTTCGACCGACCTCGGGGCGCGAAGGATTGGAAGAGAAGGAGGAAGAGGAGGAGGAAGAGGCGGAGGAGGAGGAGGAACAGGAAAAGGAGGAGGAGCAAGAGGAAGAGAAGAAGGAGGAGGAGGAAGAGGAGGAGGAGGAGGAGGAGGAGGAGGAGAGAAGAGAAGGGAAGAGGTTGAAGATTACCAAATGTATTACACTGCGAGGCGAGGTACCATGGTGCCGGGGAGGCAGAGGAGGACGAGGAGGAGGAAACCGAGGAGGGAGGAAGGGGCACGCGGCCAAGGCCACCCCCGCTCGCCAGCCCCCCTCCTTCGCCAGTCAGGCTCTGCATGGCCCTGCACGCGCAGTGGTGGGGCCTGTGGAACGAGGTCGCGGCCAAGCGCGGCGGCGACAGCTCCACCAAGGGGCCCGGCAGGGGTGGTGGCCCCTCCTCCTCCCAGCGACGTCGGTGCCATCCCATGCCAAGCCTGGCTTCAGGCTGCAGGCTTTCGGACGCCTGCCCGCGGCACCAGGTCGTCACAGACACCGCTCGCGGCAGTCTGTCTCTCGCACGCTTTGGCGAGCTGTTCGGTTCCGTTCCTAAAGGCACGAGCGAGCTCATTCAGGGCATTCAGTAAACCCGCTTTCCGCCTGCCCGGGGCGCTTCCCAGAAGTTGGCCGGGTATTTTGGATGGGCTTGGACGGTGCGCAGGGTTTGGGCAGTTTTGGTTTTCCCTATTTTTCGGTTCAGCTGCTCCGCCAGAGCTGTTCGATGGCTCGCATAATTCCGACTTGATTGGGAGCTTGGTTGCCGTCTGGGTGCACGCACCAGCGTGACAGCATTCTTTCGTAGAGGGTGGGAGGTTCTGCACATTTTTTGCCGCTGCGTCAACCCTCCTATCCGTTCCAATCATCGGAACTCGTCTTCCTCCTTCCTCGCCCCCCTTCCTCCCGTGCCCCCTCCCCTCCTTCTCCTTCCACCTTTCCTCTGCATCCCCCCCTCCGTTGAGATCTGGGCGTTGCATTTTTTCACGCCGAGCGTTTTCGTTGTGTTTTAGGCCCTGGGACTCGGGAGGGTGTTGATTGGGGTTGGCCGAAATCGGGGGTGAAGGAAGGGGCCAAGTGGGGCGTCTTTATGATCCAGCAGAGGCCCAAGAGGGGCTTCAAAGGGCCCACCAGAAGAGACATGTCTTTCACCGTCCTTTTAAAGTTACTCCCCGCTAGCACCCGCCCGAGGGCCATCACAGATCGATCCGGCGGGACCATGGTGCAGAAGAGTGCGGTCGAGGGTTGTGGTCGGGCCATTTCGCGATGTTGTGACCTTCTCGCGGCGCCGGATCTCAAGGCCCTTCCTACTCCCGTGCCCCTCCCTCAACGGGGGGCGGGAGGACGAGGGGCAGGGACAGGAAGCGCGGGGGTGGGGCGCTTTGGTCTACCTCCTTCCGCCCGCCCCGTTTCTGCCAGAGTGGGGTTGGAGGTGCGCTGTAGCTGATGTCGGGTCGGACGAACGGATGGGGGGATACAGAAAGAGGGCGACGGGGCCCTGCTGCGTGGCGCCGCGAACGGCATGCGTGCCCACGTGTGTAGCGCCTTTTTCGCGGAAAGGCCTGGAGAATCGCAGGGACCCGTCCAGTCCCAGGGCGGGGCCTCCTGTCAGGGACAATTTGTTTTTTTGGTGACGTTTGCGTTGGTTCCAGGAGGTTTTCCTGCCTTGGGGTGCGTTTCTGCAGCCGCGCCTCGCCGAAAGGCATCGGGCGGTTGTCCAGATCGTCCCGAACGGCCGCCGCAGAGCTGAGTTGCGACCCGAGCCTGACGTCACGGATCAATTTAGGGGAACTGAATCAGCGGGGACGCATCGATGCCCAATCGTCCATCCATCGCACAGGAACGCGCGGATCTTTCCAGGCCCTATCGCCGGTTTATCAGCGATGTATCGGCCGATTCAAGCTCGATCTGTTCGGAGGTTGATAGGCCTCCTACCCTGATACGTCGATTAGCGAATTGGCCGTTTTCGGTTCGCGAGAGGGCTTCGCGGCCGTCATCTTTGCGGGTCCAGGTCCGCCGGTTTCGGTCTTGGGCCGTTTTCAATAAAGGGAGGTTGACCAAAGGGAGGTTTGTCCACTGCCGACATGTTTGTCCCTCCGATCGTTGCACCTCTTCCTGGTCCTACAGGCGGCCCGGATTAGTGGGTCGACCCTGCCAGATCAAGGGTATCCTCGTGTCCTGTGTCTCGGGACCCATGCCTCCTGCATTTCTTTGGCAACGTGGCCCTCGGAAGGGTCTTGTGTCCTCTCGCGTGTCTTGTCCAATCATGTCCGACTGTAGCGCCTGACTGCTGCAGGACCGCGCAGGATCGGGAAAGGAGCGGAGCGGCTGTCCACGAAGGAGAGGTCAAGCCTCTTCTGCCGGGCGGGTGCTGAGCCCATTTTGGCCCAACAGCCGACGATCGGGAAGGAGGAGGAGGAGGAGGAGGAGGAGGAGGAGGAGGAGGAGGGTGGAGGATGGAGGATGGAGTGTCCTGTCGCGTGTCCTGTCCGATCGAGTCCGACTGTACCCAGGACCTTCGCTTCGGGGAGGTCCACGACGGGTCTGGCTGTCGGCCTTCGGCCTCCCCGCGGGGCCCCAGGGGAGGGAACGCCTGCCCTATGTAGAGGAGGGGTCCAGACCTCCGCGGGACCCGCAGCGCAACGCAACGCCCGATCGCAGTGCTCGTCTCAAGTCGGGCCTGTCCCTCTAGAGGAGGAATATTCAATCATAGTTAAAAAGAGTCGGGGGACGATGTTTTTGACTAATTTTGATCGCTTTGGGGGTGTTTTTTGTAGCGTCCAAAATCCCCCTGTAGTGGAACAGGCCCGACCTAATGCTAGTCCTGAAGCAGGACGTGGGAATACGCATGCTAGGCGACATTAATCTTGACGCAGCGCCAGAAGAGCAAGACTCAAGACCGCAGCACAGCAAAGCAATCCAGGAGTCAATCGGTCCGTTCATCGCTGCCTTGGCCTCCCGCGCCGCCGACGAGGAGCGGCCGGCAGGAGAGCATCGCGAGTGTCCGCGAGGGCACCAGGTGCGTCACGGGACGCGGAGCTCGAAGAGCTGGTATGGGAACCCAGTGTCAAGCAGTGGCGAAGCGTCCCGGCGTGCCCAGAGTCCTACCAAACAATGTTCTGAGAATTTCTTGTGGTTCCCACGAAATGTTCTTAGAACATTTCTGGCGGAGTCTGTCTTGTTTGAGCACATCGGGTTTATGTTCTAAGGACCTTGTTTTGTTCTTAGCACATTTTTGGATTGTAAGAACATTTTCGTGGTAGGACTATAGGAATGCCGGGACGGTCGGTCCCTGTTCAACAGTGGCGGTTGCAGCGGAGGATTCACAGCGTTGCAGTTTCGGGGGGCCTCGGTCCCGTATGTGGCCGTTTTTGTTCTGGAATTCGTTTCGTGTTCGACGCGGAGTTCGACGCAGACCCGATGCGGATTCGGCACGGATTCGACGAGCAGTCGACGTGGATTCAACGCGGATTCGACGAGCATTCGACATGGATTAGACAAGCTTGTCACGTAGATGTCGGCGCGATGGGACAGACAAGGTCCCACGATGACGCAACATACAAATCTTCACGTGATGCCAGGACCTCTCGATGCGAGCTGCAAGCTGTGGCCCTTGGGGGGTCCAGATCTGGTGGCGGTGCTCCGCATCAGTCCGTTCGGCGCTCCGGCTTAATCCCGCGTGATCCCGCTTAATCCTGCTTGGTCCGAGGCCCTTTCCGGCGTAACAGCTCCCAAATGGGGCTTAATCCTCCTTAATCCTTCCGACGAACACCTCCCAGTAGTTGCCTCCTAACATTCGCAGAGTGTGGGGTTGCAGGTCGTGCTCGCCGGACTACGTCCTGCTGCCCGCCGCGTAGCCGGCGTTGGGCCACGCGCGCACTGCACGGCCCGAGCCGTGAGGCGCGCTGTTCGAGCGCCGCAGCCCCTTGCGAAGTGTGCGTTGCGGCGAGGGAAAAGGTTGCAGAAGTTTGTGGAGGACGTGTAAAGCATGTCTAAAACATGTGTTAAGCATGTTAAACAAAACATGTTTCAAACATGTCTAGAACATTTATCTTACAGCTTAAACACATTTTAACTTCAATGATAGGACTGTTAGGGTGTCCATTGTCGTGGCATCCACAACCCTTGCGAAGTGTGCGCTGCGGCTAGAGAAAAGGTTGCAGAAGTGACGGCTCTGGGTTCCTTGCGCAAAGTAGGGTGCAGGATGGCAAAGGCCCTGGCGCGTTCCTGGGCTCATTGTCAGCTCCTCGGGATGTCGGAGGCGAGCCAGTCATCCCATACCTCCAGGTTGGGGAGGGCTGGTCGAGCTGAAGTGGACAGCATGTCGCAGGTGGTTATCTCTTTTCCGAGCGGTGTGTTGCACAACCGGGTGACTGAAGCATACCAGGTTTGGGCGTCGATACGTTTTTACTCAGTCTTCCTCCGCACAGGCTGCGGTGACCACGAATCATTTGCGATGCCCAGTTTCACCAGTTGGCGTTTTTGAATTCAGGTACTGGCTAGCAACACACGCAGCCCTGTGGCAGCGCCTCATGCCGAAAGGTCCTCCTACCTTTCCCTTGTGGCGAGGCCTTTCTGGAGCCATGGCCGTGTGTGCGATTCAGCCCCAGACGGTCACAGCCTCGTCGCCAGCCCCCCTCCGCTGCGAGCACCACCGCTCCAGCTGCTGCGCGGCGGGACCTTGGCTGCCCCGGCACTCCGGCGATGCCTGCCTTAGAGCAGCGGCCCACCGCGCGTCTCCGGCCGCGGCGGCGGCGGACAGGGCGCCCGCCCCGCGGCGGGGCCCTGCGCGCGCGGGGTGCGCCCGGAGCCCGTTCGGCCGCGTGCTCGGCGCGTGCTCGGCACTTCCAGGTCGGCGGCCCGCCCGGCGCGCCGGGGGCCCGACTGTCTCCACGCCGAAGTCGCTGACGCATCACCGACGTCGCCGATGCATCGGTGATGCGTCGGCGACGTGGTGCGGTTCTCCGACCCCATCTACTCGGCGGAGCCCCTCCGGGAGGCCTCTGGAGGAGGGAGAGGCCTTCTCTGAAGCCCGCGGCGCCTTCTCGAGAAGTTATCTGGGCCATTCTTCAAGGCGCCGGAGGGCTTCTGAGAAGCCCCGCCGCCTCCTGAGAAGGCCTGCCGATGCTGCACAGCAGCGCGAAGTTTTTTGACGGGGCGTTCGTTCCCAGATCTTCGGCAGTAGTTGTTTCGCGATGTCTCTTGACTTCCTGCGCTTCTCTTCCAACATCAGCATTTTGGCATCATTTTCCGTGGGGCCATGGGCGGCAGCAACGCGATGCGTTGGCGCTGGCGGAGTCCTCGCTGGGGCTACAATTTCTGGGTCGTGTTGCTGCTGAATCTGTTGGGGAGTCTCGTCCGCCAGCCAGGCGAGCAGACGGGCCGGCCGGGGGGGAGCAGAAGCTGTAATTAGGCAGCGTATTTTCGTTGGCCAGGGGAGTCCAGGCTTCGAGGTTCCAGCTACGTGTGTGGTTCGCTGTTCTTGCGGTTCATTGTATCCGGCCGTGGTGTGCGTGTGTGTGCGCGCGGGTGTGTGGCAATATCATTCGGATGTCTTGCATTCTCGCTGTTATCCTGTAGCGGATACATGTGCACACGCGAGTGAGGGGTTCTTTCCCAGCTTTCTCGTGTTGGGTCGTTTCGCATCTCATCTGCTCGTGGGTGCCCGTTTGAGTGGCCACGTTCGATTTATTTCGAAGGTCTCACCGAATTGGTGCCTGGGGGGGACACCTTCCCGTTCTCCAGTCTCGAGCGGTCCAGATGCGCTGGCCGCGCTTCTCTGCCACTGTTGTGAAGGACGATCAATTGAGAGGAAGCATGTTGCCAAACAATTTCCAGATGTCTAGAACATGTGTAACACTTGTTTTAAACATGTAAAAACACAGTTTAAAAAACATTTCCAGGGCATCCCCCCACATGTTGAACACACTTTCAATTCGATGATAGGACTGTTAGGATGTCCATTGTCGTGGCATCCGCAAGGCTTGGCGGCCAGGAGACAGCTTGGTGATGAACGCCGGTAGTGGTGCAGGAGTGGCAGCGTCCAGTCATGCAGTAAGGAATTGGGCGCGATCCTCACCGTGTGTCTTGTGTGGTTTCTCAGTGGGGCGCTCGGTTCAAGTGAAACGCAAAGGGTTCGGGAAGTGGGATTTATCTAGGTTCGCCTGCAGTCTCAAACGCGACCCTCGTCTGCTAATGAAGATTAATGTGCGATGGGCGGGCGGGCGTTCTTCATTGCCTCAGATGGGAGATCCAACTGCCAATTTGTTCAATCGCTTCGCTCATTCCGCGGGCCCGTTTCCCATCACAGTGGCTGCATGGTGGTGTGCTTGTACCCATGGGGAACAGTAGGGCCGGCAAGATTGTCCTCGAGAAGGTTTTTGGAGATGTGGCTCGCACCCTGTCGACTGCTCCAGAGAGCGCCAAGATGGCTCAAGAGAGCTCCAGCCAAGTTTCGAGACGTACCAGGGTTGTGGGTCAGAGTCCAGGGCGCTCTATTGCTACACCAAATCGTCGGAAAACCCAAGCTGAAGCAATAATTGCTGCGTCTTCGGTGCTTCTCGACGTCCTCTTGGAACCCTCCTGTAGCTTCTTGGGCGCTTCCTGGGCCGTCTTGGGACTAACCTGGCCAAGTTGGAACGCTCTTGGCCCGAGGCCGTGTGGCGTGCCACCCTTTTGGCGCCCCACTGGGGCGCTCGGGGGGCCCCCGAGGTCGCGCCCAGGAGCTCCGGCATCTCGGGCCCGACCTTGCCGGGATCTTGCCGGTTTTTTTATTTCGTCGGGGGGGGGGGCCCCAGGGGCCGCCACGCTCGTGCGAAGTACCCAGACTCTTGCTGGAAATTTTCGGACGCCTCTGGCCCGTTGTGCCGGCGAATGTCGCGTTATTCCCAGGTCTGTGCCTATCCTCTGTTGCACCCTGTGCCTTGTGTCAAAGCGCGTGGAACTCGGGGCCTTTCCAGCGCCAGCATGTCTTGCAAACCTCCCGACGTGACAATGCCACATGCGCCGGTCGCTATCACCACGGCCGCCCCAGCTCAGGCAGACTCCGGGAGCTTGCCTTCGGGACTGCCTTCGTGGAGCCGGCTGGGTACGTCGCTTAGACGTTGCTCGCGGGGGGACAGTACTACAGTACAGACAACCTGCACAGTGAGGATGGGCAACCTTCCCAAGGGCACCCTTGCATCCTTGCCTCCTCGGCCCATCCTTGGCCGCTCTCGTTGGCCGCGCTCCGCTCGAAACGCTGCGAAATAGGCGTCCGAGGCCCTTGCGTCCTTATCGCGCATCCTTATTCCACGGGTTGACTGTATCGATGGCTGCGGCCACTGACGAGTCCTATCCCTACGGGTCCACTCGATGCTGGGTTATCGCACAGCCTCGTAGTAGGGGGCTTCACCTGGCTGCAGACATTGTTCGCAATTGCCCCCCCCCCCGGCGAAATATATGACTCTGACCTGCGGGGGTGGGTCAGGAGTGAAAAAACACAGACACAACTAATCGTCGATTCCCCAGAAAATATAGGAAAATATGGGAAGTAGGGGGAAGTCCCAGAACATATAGGAGAATATTGGGAATCTTGTTATTAGTGTCTATTTATTTGTGTGTCCCAGGGCCCCTTCAGTGGGGTTCGCATGTGGTGGTTGCCCAGGAGGGGAAGCTTCAGGCAGGAGAGGTCAGGATGCAACTCATTGGAGGTTCGCTGTCAGCATCGGCGCTCTTAGATATCTGTAGCCAGACCAGGCTAAGATGACATGCTTCGGCTTGAAAATGTGAAGTCCCGCTTAATTCGGCTTGAATTCAGCGATCTCAGAAGCTTGTGAGTAGAGGCGCGGCCCAACGTTACGAGGGGATAGGCTCAGGGGGGATGCGTCGCCCCCCAATACCGCCCATTCATTGCCGACAGGGGCCCGATAGCCCTCCCGCACAGGAACCTGCGGACTCGTTATTGGGGGCCCATCGCCGATCTGTCGGCGATGTATCGCCCATTCCAGGCCGATGTCCCCCCCCCTCCCTGAGTCAGCCCCCCCCCTGCAAGTTGCCCCTCGGAGACGCTGGAAGGCTGCCCCCCGCCCCCCCTCGCCCTGGCCCCCCTCTTCGCCCGAGCATTTTCTTTCGGTGAAGGGCAAGGGGTGAAATCTGAAATGCCGTTTCGATGGGTTTTCGAGGGAATCTGCAAAAGGTGAATCACAAGACGGATCGATTCTCGAGGTGCCAAAGCCCGTGTGGATTTCACCCTGAGCCCTCCACCCTCAGAAAATGCTCAGTTCGCGCCGCCACCTCTGACGCGCCGCCACCTCCGACCGCCCTGGGGTGGATCTAAACGGTGTTTTGGCTATTTCGTGGGCCGTTTTCGTCTCGATGTCGTTCTGCAGCAGAGGCGAATTCAAGACAAAACGAAAGACAACGAAAACGCAGCGAAAGCGAAAACCACTGTTTACGTCCAGCCCTGCTCTGACCGCCCTCGCGGCCCGGTGGGCGGCGGCGCTCGGGCGCAGAGGGCGGCCTCGCGCAGGGGGGGCAGGAGGTCCTGGCGGAGGCGCTCCCCGTCGAGCGAGCAGGGGCCACCTGCGGGCCTGCGCTGGGCCAACCTCGAGCACTGTCTTGGCATCGCTCGGACGTGTGCATTTTATCTCTCGGCGAGGACCTTCGAGGAGCACCCTCGACCATCTGGCAAAAAGAGCACGCACGGAACGGACGTCCCAGCGACGGCAAGCTGTCCGCTGTGGGATTTTCAGGATGGCAAACAACACAAACACAATTAGTCGTCCATTCCCGAGAAAATATTGGAAAATATGGGAAGTGGGGGGGGGGAAGGCAACATCCCAGAAAGTATGGGAAAATACGGGGGATCCTGTGATATGTGTGTCTACTTATATTTGTGTGTGTCAGGGCCTCTTTCAGCTGGGCCAACCTCGAGCACTGTCTGCTGTGGGATAAGGGTGGTGGGTCTCGGTCCAGTGTGGGCCCACGAAGGCCGAAACTTGCCCAGAAGGCATCGCCTGATTTTTTTCGCAGCGACCGAGCTCAGGGGGACTTGTTCGCCCAAGATTTGTTTTTGAGGCACCAGGGCCTCAGCACGGGCCCAGGAGGCCGATATCGAGAAGCAACGCCCAGACTGACAAAAGACTCGAGCTCCAATTTCAGACTGACAAAAGACAAAAGACAACAGACTCTGGGCTCGTCCAGGCCTCCCAACTGGGATCCAATCACATGGGTCCGGAGGATCGCGCCGCATCGCCGATGCACCAGCGGCGCATCTCGGTGTGGAGGCCGATCTTCTCCACGCCGGCGGCGCCGATGCGTCGTCGACGTCGCCGATGCGTCGGAAATGCGGCGCGATGCTCCAACTCCAATTGTTCGGATCCCGTTAGAGAGGCCTTGAGAAGTCAGTGTCATAAACCGACGTCCACATCGACACGGCACGGACCGGCACTAACGAGTTCGAGGATTGGAGCAGGGCTGTTTGGCCGCGGGCGCACTGATTCGGTCGACCGTGTTTTCATCGTTGGAGCCGTCGTTGGTTGCGTTGGTACGTCATAATCGCGCAGCCAGCGAAGACACCTCACATTGTATGATCTCTTCTTCTCATCATGCTTTTTCACTGGCCCCGTGCGCACTCTGCGCTCCACATGAGAAGGCCAACACATTCGATGCGGTATAGTCCGAGCGCAGCTCCTTCCGAGTATCTGTCGGCTCCCGTGTCACCGCATCACCGCAGCGGGCTCAAGCGGTGGAGGTAGATAACCTTTGTGTTTACCGCTAACGGCGTTCTATGCAATTTCGAATTGACTGATGTTTGTTAATCAGAGTGATTTCTAGGTTTTTTTTTTGTTTGGGGAGGCAAGACAAGACAGGCGCGCAGCGACATTGATGATACTTGATGCCGGGACCGCGGGGACAGATGAGGCTCATGCGGACGGCCGCAGCCTGTGTCTTCAGCGCCCCGCACCGTCAAACCGATGCTCATGACGGCCTGATTGGATGAGGGACCATGCTCGAACATATTGGGGAATGTTGAGGTTTCACCGCTGTGGTCGCCGCCACCTTCGGACCTCGGCCAGATGTTGCAGGCAGCCAGCTGATGTGCTTCAGGATCTGGTGGAGTATCGCAGTGCTCACGGCGTGCTGGACATACCTGCGGATTATGTCACCGCCGATGGGTTCCCCCTGGGGGAGTGGGCGGATAATCAGAGGAAATTGTACGGTGGCGAGAACATGTCCGACGAACAGTTCAAGGTTGGCTTCTCTGTTTGCATATCATGCTGACGTGATTGCTGGCATTAAGGCAATTATGGGAGCACTCTTCATTGACGGTCATTTGTTGCCTACACCGTTCCGCTGTAGTTTCTCGTCTTTTCATTTGTCCAACGCGCCGTTCCAATCCACTCAGCATAATGATGATTAACGGCCTAGTGACTAGCTTAATCTGTCAGCATATCCCCACCGGCCCACCCGGAAGTGCATGGAGTAATCAGTGGACCAGGGAATTGTAGGAGCAACCAGTGGGGCACAGATGGGTTGTAGCCGTCAAACCGAAGGTTTTGATAAGTTTGTGCAGACTCAAGGGTCAAACATGCATGCCTTTTTCGGATCTTTCAGCATGGACCCCTCTTGGCAGGTTATTTGGACCACCTTGGGGCCCTCTGCTGCCATTTTCGGAGGTCTGTGCAGCTCTCTTGGGAGCCCTGTCGTTGCCATCTTGCAGGACATATGTCAAAGCAAGGGAGGTTCCAGTCAGTCTCGCGTTGATATTGAAAGGTCGCCTATTTGGGCGCTCTTGAGGCGCTCTTGGGGCCCTCTCGGGGTCACCCTGGAGGCATTTTCAGGCCACAGAAGGCCATCGGAATCGAACATGCGGCGCTGTAAGCATGATTGATTTCCAAAGGTGTTGGAAGGAGTTGGGCCTCTTAGAGGCAGCCTTGGGAGGCTCTGTGGGCACGTTGAACCGTCTTTGGGCGGTCATGTGACGGTCATGTGTTTCTTCGAGGCATTCTGGAGGATATCGTTAGCCATCTTGGCCGTCTTGATCTATCTGGAACCATCTCGAGCGCCATGTTGGTCCGCACGCTTCTTTTGATAACCAATGGTTTTCTCAAAGTAGGCATGCCTAGAGGAGCCCTAGCTCCATGCATAGAGGTCTGGTCCACTGCCCCCCCCCTATCTTGTCCCAACTGGTTGCGATGCTCCCCCCCGAAACAGTTGCCCCAGATGGTCGAATGGCTTCCATTGTATTGCAATGGCTTCCTCCGCTCAAGCATTAGTTTCCTCTGCAGTTCGAACGTCTTCCTGTAGCCATTCCAATGGCGACCAAATAACCGTCAGGCCAACGCACACTCAGGCGTAGAGTAGTGTAGAGAAGAGCATACATGAACAGGGGAGAGGGGTGTCGATGCGTATAACCGGTCATACCAGAGGATCGTAGGGTATATCAGAACAACTAGAGTAGAGCAGAGTAGAGGAGAGGAGAGGAGAGCAGAGCTGAGCGAGTATATCAGCATAGAGTAGAGTAGAGTTTGTAGGAGTGGAGTCGAGTAGAGTCGAGTCTGACTAGAGTTTAATTTTGATTCGGTTGGGGTAGGGCGGGTCTGGTCGGGTAGGGTGGAGCGGGGAAAGCACGTGCAGAGTATATGGTAGAGAGCGAATCAGTTGTAATAGAGGGTGTACTATTAAAGTTTACAATACCAGCGGTCGAGTCGGAGTAGGAGTAGAGTATAATAGGTTAGGGCAGGGCAGGGTAGGTCAGAGCTGGGTAGGGTAGAGCAACGCAGAGTAGGTTATGATCGGCGACATTGCATTTTGGGGGGGGTCAAAGAGTATCTTATCTTTTCACATACCAGTGTAGAGTAATACAACTTATATGAGGTGGGCAGTGTACTAGCGCAGGGGATGGTAGAGTAGAGCCGATTAGAGGAGAGTCGAGGAGAGGAGAGTCAACTAGAGTGGAGACGAAAATGAGTAGAGTAGAGTAGTAGCGTAGCTTTGGCTCGGCCAGAGTAGGGTTGGGGATGTAAGGGGGGCCAGGGTAGAGTAGGACAGGCCATAGTAGAGTAGAGCAGAGGTGAGTATTGCTCGGTGGAGGGCAGAGCAGAGTCGGGTACCATAGAGTAGAGTGGAGTAGAGTCCGTTCCAGTCCAGGCCAGTCTACTCCAGTCCAGTCTACTTCTCCAGTCCAGTCCAGTCTACTTCTCCAGTCCAGGCAGTCCACTCCAATTCGCTTCTTCTCAGTCTTCTGGTCTACTAGGAGTCTGCGCAGGCTGATTTTCAATGAGAGCGGTTTCGACTGAAAGGGGGGTCCTCTAATGTCGTCGCATCCCTGGAGCCCGACAAGTCGCATCTTGGGGACCTGTTGGGGCGCTCGTGGGCTCTCTTGGGGAAGTCTTGCAGCTCCCCCCAAACCCCGGGCCTCGTTCATGTTTGATGTAGCATGGGTCTCAGAGGTTGTTTCGGAAGCGAACGTGCGAGACGGATAGCATCATTGGTTTCCGCAGGTTTGAGGCATCCTCCATTGCCACTTGAAACCGTCTCGGGCGGTCTTGGGGCCTCTTGGATGCATCGTGGGAGCCACCCGCAGCCATATAACGGGGGACCGGGTCTGGGGGCCGGGGGCTGGGACCACGACCACCAACGTGGGGCCCCGCGCGCCGGGAGCCCTGCCGGAGTGCCGGGGGCCGTCCAAGATTGCCCGAGTATGGCTTCGGAACGCTCGAAAACGCGCTCCGATGGCTCCAGATTCCTTTCAAGACGATTCCCATGACGCCAAGAAGGCCCCCGAAGCCGAAGACGCCCCCGCTCGGCACCCCGAGAGAGCCCCAATAAGCAACAATCGTCGATTTCCTATAGGGAAACTGGTGTTTTTGGCTTGTTCGCCTTTTGGGCTTCCACTGCGTCCAAGACGGCCCAAGAGACACCCAAGACGGTCGAGGATGCCCCAAAGAGGGAAGGGCCCCAAGACGGCCCACGAGGGGGCCAAGACGGCCCACGAGGCGCCCAGAACGCCCAAGAACGCCCCAAGGCGGCGTCCAAGACGGGGACGAGGAACCATACATTCACGCCTTTTGGCCCAAGAGACCCTCAGGAGACCCCAAGAGGCTCCAAGAAGCGCCCAAGAAGCCCCAAGCGGCCCCCATGAGACCCGACAAAAACACCAAAAGAGGCCCCGACGACGCCCCATGAGGCACCCCAATAGAACCCCGATTAGCAAACATCGTCGATTTCCCATCGGGAAACTGATGTTTTTGGCGTGTTCGCCTTTTGGGCTTCCACTGCGTCCAAGACGGCCCAAGAGGCACCCAAGCCGGTCGAGGATGCCCCCAAGAGGGCTCCAAGACGGCCCACGAGGGGGCCAAGACGGCCCACGAGGCGCCCAAAACGCCCAAGAACGACCCCTAGGAGCCCAAGAGGCCTTTCCAGGGAGCCTCCACAGCGCCCCAGGAGGGCCCAAGTCGCCTCCCAGGAGCCTCCAGAATGCGAAAGGATGGTCCAAGACGCTCCCTAGCAGCCCATTCCGACGGCTCTCGAGGTTCCCAGGTGGCTTCCAAGAGACCCCAAGAGAGGTCCGAGAGGCGCCCCGGGACGGCCCGAAGAGTTCCAAATCGCAGATGTTCCATTGTTTTGTTTCAATGTTTTCGGCTTTCGCGTTTTCGAGCTTCAATGGTCCAAAAGCGCCGAAGAGGCTCCCAAGACCGCCGCAAGACCACCCTAGAGACCCTCAGGACGGCCCCAAGACAAGCCAAGAAGGCTCCAAGACTGCCGAAGAGGCGCCCAGGACAGCCCCAGACCACCCCAGGCCCAAGAGCGGGAGCAGGAGGCTTCCAGAGACCTCCGAGAGGCCTCGAGGACCCCCCAGAGGTCCCCAACACACCTCCGATCCTTGAGAGGCCCGAAAATGACCCCGACGCGGCTCCAAGAACAGCCCAAGAGAGCTGCGAGAGCCGTCCCGAGAGAGCCTGAAGAGGGTTTCTGCGTTTCCGCACTTCCCCTTCTATACGAGTCCGCGGCTTGCGCAGGGCCTCCAAGGGAGTCCCTGGACGCAAGAAGCGACCAACATGAAATTACATGAGTTGGCCGATCCATCCTAGCTAGAACTTGAACTCGCGCGAAGCGCGCGCGATGGTTCTAGTACAGATGTATGTGTATATATAGACATATATATATATATATATATAGAGTATCATCTTGGAGGCTATCTGTGGCTTTCTTGGGCGATCTTGGGCCAATATTGTGGAATCTTGGGCGCTCTGATTGGTGCCTCCTCCCCTCCACCCCCGTCTGACAAGGGGGTAGGGGGTAAAGGGAGGGGTCGAGCTCCCCCCCCCCAAAAGGACGGCCGTCGCGCTCACTCCCACCCGTTGTCCAGAGCCTCAGCATAGGCACAGGTCCCCACTGGCATTGAAGCGCTAGAGGTTGTCCTGGCAAAGTACTTCCTGCTCCCAGCTGGGAGCACCGAGTAAATTCGACGGTAGTTCTACGCGAAAAACACGTACCTGCAGGTGTTCACGGAGTATGCCTGCCAGACTCGTGCCATTTCGAGATGGCAGCGGCAATGACCGCACGGACAGCAACCAGCCCTGGGCTGGACTCTGCCTTTTTTCTTGCTGGCACCACGGATGTCCAGAGCGGCGTGGCTTTCTCCAGGGACCGTCCTGGCTCCGCTGGCCAGGCACGCACACCGCATTTCACGAGGTGCTCTGAGAAGGTTGGCGTCCGCGGGATTCATCTTCCCCGGCCAGCTTGGGCAAGACTTGAGAGAAGGCGTGATCTTCCTCATTTTCGCGTTTTTCATCTGGGGTGCCATCCGGCGTTCCTTTCGGACATTGGCCGTTCGGCGTCCGTTGGTTGGGGTATTTTGCCCGGATGAACGTGACATGACTTCCGGGGATGCGTGCCCTTCTACATCCACGTCCTCTTCTCCACGCTCCTCGACGCCGTCTGCGTGCAGTAGGCGCTACTCTCGCACAGTGGCCGTTTGGCGCCGGTCGAACGGGACAGAACTTCGTTCGGTCGCCGCGATCCTCGTCGCCTTTTGCGTGCAGTTGGCGATGCTCAACAAATATCGGCGACCTTCCAGTCGCTCGCACCGGCGCGCTCAGCCTCGGGCCATCCGTGCCGGTGAAATCGGACGGGGTGGTTCTATCGAGCTCGTCTGCCCTTCTTTCTTCTTTTTGTTTGCGGCGTAAGACCGTACCTCATATACACGCCTGCCAGGCACATGTCGCGATCGACAACCATAAGTGACCCAGCGCAGACGCCAGCCAGGTGCGCGACGCCTGCGAGGTCTGCCGCGCGTGCCAGGACAACCCCCTAAGCAACAGTGCGCGCTGGTCACGTGGCGCTCGTGCATGATCCAATCTCTTGCCGCGGTGATCACTTTGAACTTGTCTTGGACAGGGGTGGTGGGCCTGCGCACACCAGGCAGCATGCTAGCCCCCCCGCGCCGCGGGGCTGGTCGATTGAGGGAGTAGGTGTTTGTTGTTAATGCGTACAGTCAAAACCCATAGCATGGACGCAAAGCGTCGAATGGCTACCTCTACATCCTTGCCAACTCCGCCCACCCTTGGCCAATTTCTTGTCCAATGACGTCCACACTGAACGTCCAAGGGCATTGTCTCCTCACCTTCGTTCGTACACTGGCATTTGACTGTATGGATCAAGCTATCCCCTGAAAGACGGCCGTCTCGCTCACTCCCACCCGCCCTTCAGTCACATAGGTGGGAGAGTAGACGTGACAGCACGCATTGGGAACTCGTCGACTCCTCGCGATCTGTTCAGAAGTTCGCGTGCCCGTCTTCATTTCCCATGGGGTTGTCGGCGGGGTGGGTGGGCCCGCGGGGTGCACGTTGACATGGACGGATGGGTGGTGGTGGCAGTGACACAAGTTGGCGGCCAGTCGAGTGGGAGATGAGGGTGTGTATAAACCATTTCCGCAAGCGAAACAGGGGTGTTGAACAAGCGTAGCCGATCTCAGACCAGAAGGCTGGTTGGATTTCTATGAGTCGCAGTGATGGAAGTAAGGCTCATGCTAGGTTGCAGCTCTGGTTCGTGCTCTGTGGAGATGTATTTGCACGGAATGTATAGATACACGTGTCATTCGTGCTGCTACAAGTGACGTGCTTGCGACTGCACCTGTTCCGTGTCTACGGAATGTGCAAACAGTTGCTGAACGATTTGGGCTTCGTGTGGGACCTCGGAGCTGCTGCTTGGGCGGACGCCTTCAAGGACTTCGAGGCCCAGCGGAGGCGCACCCCCGATGCGAGAGAGCTGGCGCCGAGCCGTTCCTTCACCGACGGCGAGCGCATCTCCCGCGGGGAACTTTCGGGGCACGACCGTCTGGGTACTGGAGAGAGGAGCGAGGAGGACGGCGGAGGAGGATGAGGACGACGGAGGACAGCGGAGGGGGAGGAGAAGGAGGACGGAGGAGGGACCTGAACTTTGGGGCGTCCTGAGAGTGAGCCCGCTCTCGGTGAGGGCGACGACCCTGGTGTCCTAATAGCGTGATCCTCCTGGCTGTTCACGCGCTGCTGGCATCGTCGCGCGCCAGATGCCGTGTAGGATATAGATAGGCATTGGACGAGGAGGAGGAGGAGGAGGAGGAGGAGAAAGAGGAGGAGGAAGAGAAGGAGGAGGAGGAGGAGGAGGAGGAGGAGGTGGAGGAGGAGGGGGAGGGGGACGTACGGCAGAGGAGGCGGTAGCAGGACGGCGGAGGAAGACGGCGGAGATAGGAAAAAGGCCACGGGCGGGATCGCTGCTTGTAGCGCCCCCTCGGCGGGGGCGCGGCGGGCTTCCTGCCCGAGCCTGGGTCGCCCCTGCACCGGTGGCTCGCCGAGCAGTGCGCGCTGCGACTGGAGGGCCAGCGCGAGCCCCAGCCTCGTCACGCCCGGCACGCGAGGTCGTCGTCGTCGTCGTCGTCGTCGTCGTCGTCGTCGTCGTCGTCGTCGTCGTCATCGTCATCGTCGTCGTCCGTGTTCGAGTTTCGGGCTGCGGGCTGTATCCTTCGGGGCAGCGAGGCCCTCGATGGGGCTCCTCCTGGCCTCGCGTCCCCCTCTGCTGCCTCGCTGCGCACTCAGCAGCAGTGTCTCCGTAGCAGCGCCGTCACGGAGGAGCTTCAGAGCAGGGATGCGGCAGAAGTTTTCCCCCCCTGGTCTTGCAAATCGGCGGCGAGCGAGGGGGGGAAGGGAGAAGGAGAAGGCCTTTTCAGAAGGCGGCGGGACTTCTCAGAAGTCCTCGCGCCTTCTGAGAAGTTTTTTTGTTTCTTCGGGGAAGGCATAGAACACTTGTCATAAGGCCAGGGAACTTCCGAGCCTTCTGAGAAGCCCCGCCCCTTCTCACTTCCCCCCCTCGCTCGCCGCCAAGCAAAGTCCAGGGTTCAGATTGCTTCGGATTCTCTCTTTGCGGCATTCGAGTGCGGGGCTGAGCGGCAAGTTGCACGATGCGAGGCGAGGTGGAGGGGCTCCGGGGTTGGTTTCTTCAGGCCGTTCCCAGAGGAGAGGGGGATTCTCGGGAAGGGGTTTCTGATTTGGCCAGCGCCTTCCTCAACGCTCTCGGCCCGATCTGGAGCGCCACAGGTTCCTTCGAGGAACTGGTCCACCACCTCCACAGAGGCGCTGGACAGCGCAGGGCTCTTGCCAGCACGAGAGGCGCATCGCAGAGACCTCGGTTACCGCCCAGGGACTGGCTTGCAAGGTCTGAGTCCAGCCGCGACGACGTGGGGGGCAAGTTTGGGTGTCAGCCTCGTCACGCAGGCGAGGCAAGACTCCCCTCCCTCCCTCCCTTCCTTTCGGATGCAACTCCTGGGAGGTCAAATTCTGTTTTCGCCGTGGTCCGAAGTCCGGCTTCATCCAGCTCAATCCCGCTTAATCTGGCTTAATCCTGCTTGGTCCGAGGCCCTTTCCGGCGTAACAGCCCCCCAGATGGGGCTGAATCTTCTTTTAATCCTTCCGACGAAAAGCTCCCAGTAGTTGCCTCCTAACTTCCTCCCTGCTCTGGCATCCCCTCCCTGCCTCCCTCACTCCTTCCCCGCTCCGCCATCGGATTCCCCCCCTGTGAGGCGCGCGGGTGGCCGGCCTCTTCCCTTCCCTGCCTCCATCCTCTCAGCCTCTTCTCTCCCTCTTCCGAAGACGGCAAGGCTGGAGGGAGTCGAAGATGGAGGAGGCGGCGTACCAACACGAGGACGAGACAGGAGGGCGGAGGAGGACGAGGAGGAGGAGGAGGAGGCGGATGACCAACACGAGTGAGGAGGAGGAGGAGGAGGAGGAGGAGGAGGATGCGGAAGAGGATGACGAGGAGGAGGAGCAGGAAAGGAGGAGGAGAAACAGGCGATCCGAGGAATTGCAGATAGCGGTGTGCTTAGCAGGGTCAGTCGTACCGAAATTCCTGTGGCGACGATGCCGACGACAGCGACGCCGACGCCGACGGCGACACCGATGCTGACGGCGACGGCGGCAGCGGCGGGGGCCACGACGACGACGGCAGACGCCCACGACGGCGTTGACGCCAACTCCCCAGCTGCCTGGCGGCACGTCTCTCTCCCTGGGCACCTTTGCTTCCCCCAGCGCGGCGCCCGCCAACATCCGAGGCTGGGGCCCGTGCGCGAGGAGACTGCGCGGCCTGTCGTCGTCGTCGTCGTCGTCGTCGTCGTCGTCGTCGTCGTTGGAGGCGGCCGCGGCGACGGCGTCTCTCCCCCCCCCCCCACCCCACCCCCCCTTCTGCCCTCCTCGGCCTCCTCATACTCCCCAGAAGGTCCTGGGTTTCCGACGAGGAGGAGGCGGATGGGGGAGGAGAAGGATTGGATGATAATGAGAAAAATGACGAGGCGGTCAAGGCACGGTTCAGGGCCTCGAAGATAATCGCGCTTCGCGCATCGCGGTCTGGGCTGGAGAGTTGCTGCGCTCCGTGCGAACGTTGTGATCATTGCATTTTCCCAGTGCTGCCTGCTCGATCGGGGTCTTTGGCACTCAGTGCTTCATATAATGCTAGACGGCGTCGGAGTTGGCTAGAACCAAAGCGTGCGCCTTGTGCAGTCGTGTTTGATGTACGCCCTTGCATTTCAACCAAAACGTATGTCCGTCTGCCAATGCACGTGTATATACTTGGATTTAGCGGGTTCTGTCGATCACTCTCTCCCTCCCTTTTCTTCTTCTTCTCCCCGTGTTTGCCTGGCCCCCCATCTTCTCTATCTCTCTCTTCTCCTGTGCTTCACCCCTCGCACTTGCGCGCGTCACTCTGAGCGGAATGCCCGCTGGGCTTCGGGGGCACTCGGTCCGTTTTGGCACCTCCCGGGTCCTCTCTTGCCTTCCCTCCTCCGTCTTCCCAGGGATCGAAGAGTTCGGATGCAACTCTTGGGAGGTCAAAATCTGATTTAGCCCTGGTCAGAAATCCTGCTTAATCTGGTTTAATCTCGCTTAATTCCGTTTTAATCCCGATTCATCCGGTTTAATCTCGCTTGATCCGAGGCCCACTCTGGCGTAACAGCCCCCCAAATGGGGCGTAATCCTCCTTCACCTTTCCGACGAAAACCTTCCAGTAGTTGCCTCCTAACCTCCCGTGTCTTCTCTTGCCTTCCCTCCTCCGTCCTCCCAGGGATCGAAGAGAGGATGCAATTCAACGTGTTCTCCCGCCGCCAGCGCACTTGGCTCGCAGGCCTGGCGCAAGGAAGAGGTCCGCGCCGCACGCGCGCGCGTCTCCCCTCGTCGTGTCCTCTGTCGGGCCGTATTGCATACAGATGTGTCCCGCCGCCGTGCCCGGATTTGGGTACGAAGCTGGCTGGATGTTCGTTGAAATCTCGTGGTGTGCCTCCCGGGGGCCTCTTGGAGGCAGCGTGGAGGCCTCTTGGGGTGGCCGTTGTGGGGCCTCTTGGGGGCCTCTTGGGGACCTTGGGAGCCCCTCGGGGGCCTCTTTGGGTGGAGGCCTCGGATTTTCTCTTGGGCCCCTTTTGGGGCCCTCTTGGGCGTCTCTTGGGCCGTCGTGGGAGCCTCTTGGGCCGTCATTTGGCGCTGTTAGGCCGTTCTTTTTGGCTGTCCAGGAGCACCAGATCGCCGAGTGGCGAGAACGCCCAAATCCACCAAACATCCACGTCACCTGTGCCTGCTGGGGCCCTCGTGGGGGACTCTTGGGGCGTCCTGCAGGCCTGTTGGGCCATCACAGAGGCCTCTTGGGCCATCTTGAGACCATCTTGAGCGTCTTGGGATGATCTTTCGTCGATTCGGGGGCCCTTTTGGCCCGCCTCGGGGCCTCTCGGGTACAGAACAATTCATGTGACATCACGTCCTGGAGCCTGGCCAAGCGTCATGATGCGAGGTCCGGGCCCCTTCAAGACTCCTCAGGACTGAGGACAGAGGCTCCAGGGATTAGGCGGAGGACCTGGGGACGCGCCCACTCATTGCGCAAAGGCGTGGTGGCGGATACAGCGAAACGTGCTTCTAAGGAACTCGGCCGCCTTCAACGTCCAGCCGAGGCCATAGACATTCAGGTAGTTAATAAGAACCCTCACGTTCGGCAAGAGGATTAAACTGCCCGCGCCGGGAAGCATTGTCCCGGCACCCGCCGTCAGCAGGAGGAGGAGGAGGAGAAGGAGGAGGAGGAGGGGGAAGGAGGACGAGTCTGCCCTCTCTTCCAGATGGCTCTCGACTTAGCGCCGTGCACATTCGTTAGCTGTTTCGGCGCGCATGTTTTAGTTGTAATCCCTCCTGGAATGTATTCATATCGGTGCGGTGCTACGTATAACCCCGGGGGGTCTCTTATTAACTGCCTGAGGTTACCTCGGGGTGCCCTCTGCGCAGATTTTCAGCGCAGCGGAAGCAGTGCTGCGCATTGCACAAAAGATGGAAGCGTCGGGTGAGCTGGCAGCACTTTTCGAGGACTTTGTCCATGGTGCCATTTCGTTGTTACAACCGAGAAACGGCAGGCAGCGTGATCAGTCATGGGTGTTTTCTCCAGACTCGACTTTGACCGCCGGCATGTTGTCAACGCGACCGAGGCGATGCGGCCCTCGTTCTCCTCCTCTTCCTCCCCCTCCTTTTCCTTCGAGCTTCGAGCTGCGGGCCTGTGGTTCTCCGAACTGATGCGGCCCTTGTTTTCGGATGCAACTCCTGGGAGGTCAAATTCTAATTTAGCTCTGGTCCGAAATCCCGCTTAATCCGGTTTAATCCCGCTTAAGTTGATCCCGCTTAATCCAGCTTAATCCCGCTTAATCCCGCTTAGTCCGGCTTAGTCCCGCTTGATCCGAGGCCCACTCTGGCGCAACAGCCCCCCAACGGGGCTTAATTTTCTTTCATCCTTCCGACGAAAACCTTCCAGTAGTTGCCTCCTGGCTTGCTTTCCTCCCCCTCCTCTTCCATCTCTTCCTTCTCTTCGCGTGGGCGAGCAGCGTCCGTGTCCCGCGGCCTCGCGGGCCGAGCCCCTGGGCCGAGAAACGCTGCGTTCACGAGCCCCTGGGGCGCGGCCTCGCGGGCCGAGCCCCTGGTGAATGCCGCGTGTTGGACGCCTCCGTAGGGCATAGCGCATACCCGCGGGATCGGCGCCCCGGAATCCAGACCGCGAGGGCGCGGATGCGGATATGTATTAAGCCGCTCCCTCGTTCCTCCTCCCCCCTCCCCCTCTCCCTCCCTCCCTTCCCTCCCTCCCGACCCCGAGCGGCGGCTGTGCGACGTCGGATTCGACTGGCTCCTCTCCAGCTCCGAGGAGGAGGAGCGCGTCGTGCGGCGGGCCTGCGCCGCGCGCGCCTCGCCGCGCCCCGCCGCGCCCCCCCCCCCCACCGCGGGGCCCCTCGCCGCCGCTCGGATCGCCTTCTGCCCGCTTGCGCCGGCCACGGGGAAGTCCACGCGGCGTTGGCGCGCCGGCGACGCCAGCCAAGGCGTTCAGGGTTGAGTTCTTCGGGGGCGGAAAAGAGGGGGGTGATGACTAGGGGGGGGTGGATATCATGGCGGGGGCCATGATATCTCCCCAGATTTCATGGCGCCTCTTCTTGTTTCATTACGTCCCTGGCCGCCCCGCTGGGCCGCGCACATGCCGCCGGTCATGATTTGCACACCCCCCTCTTGGACACCCCCCTCTTGGCCGCTCCCGAGTTCTGCGACGCGGAAGCATTGATGAATGCGGTGACTCCATTTGGCCCAGCGGAATCCAATCTAAGACGATCGGGGCCGCGATCGGTTCCATTGAACGATCGGCGCGGTGTCAACAACCTTTGCGCGCACCGACGACGAGCGAACTTACCGTACGTGCCGAATTATGTGCAGGGGGGTGGAGGACTTGGAGGCGGGTGAGGGTGAGTGGGATCAAGCAGTGGCGAAGCGTCCCAGCTCGCCTATGGGCCCACCAAAGAATATTCTAAGTGTCTTTCTTGGTTTGCACGAAATGTTATGAGAGCATTTCTTCTTGGGACTGTCTTGTTTTTGTCACATCGGGCTTGACTTTCTAAGAACATTGTTTTTGTTCTTAGAACATTCTGGATTCTACGAACATTTCGTGGGAGGACTATAGGATTGCCGGGGGGTGATTGGGCAGGACTTGTGGATTCATTGTTTTGATTGGTTGGCGTTCTGCCCCCTCCCTCGTGCTGACAAGTAATTTCCAGATGTCTGAAAGATGTTTCACATATGCTTCAAGTATGTTAAGATCATGGTTCAAACGCTTGCAGAGCATGTATTACATATTTCAACACAATTTTAAATTCAATAGTAGGACTGCTAGGGTGTCCATTGTCGTGGCATCCACAACCCTCCCCCCCTCCAGTGTTTTTTGTTATTTACCCTTGGTTTTTACACTCATCCTCCTTCCCTTGTTCCTCCTCGCCATCCTCCCTCCCCACCTTCCCGCCCTCCCCTCCCTTCTCCTCCTCCCCGTCCTCCCCCTCCTCCTCCTCCTCCTCCTCCTCCTCTTCCTCCTCCTCGGGCCGCCAGCCGAGTCTGCTCCTCAGAGATCTCCAAGAGCGACTTCTCGACCGCGATCCGGCGCTCCTGCTCCTCGATCGCCTGCTGCGCCTTCGCGAGTTCCTTCCTCGCTTCGGCAAGATGCTCCTCGTGCTTGACCTTACGCTGCTGGAGCTTGTGGGACTGGAAGGCCAGCGTGCGCAAACGCGCGGGCACCAGCTTCGCCTCCTCCAGCTCGCCACGCAACCGGGACCTCTCGGCCTCCAAATTGGTCCGGGCAGTGTCGAAGTCGGGGCCCTTGAGATCCTTGATCGTGCGAAGGGACGTCTCGATCTCCTCAAGCCTGGCCTTCTTCTGGAGCCCAGTGGCCGAGACAGGGACGGGAGACCTTCCGTCGTCAACCTCCATCTCTGCTTCAGCGGACGGTGGCTGGGACGCCAGACGAGCGTTGGCCTCCGCCAGCTGCTTCTCGACCTCGGCGAGGCGTGCCACATGCCACGGTGGCACGGAAGCCCCGCCCGGCGGAGCGCTGCCCGTGACCTTGCGGCTGGGCTGGCTGACGGGCCTCGGCTTGAGGAACGCCACCGCCTTCGCCCTCCCGCACTTCGAGCACGTGACCATGTCCGAACGGTTCCACCACGACACCTGCGAGACGGGGTGGGTGCACCAGCGGCAGCACCAATCTTCAGCATTCGCACGACGTCGCTGGGCGTGGCGCGAAGGGGGCTTCCCATCAGGCTGTCGTTGCATCGAGCACCCGGCAGGTGCACAAGAGAAAACGGATGTACTCGTGCAGGGTGGACTGCACGAGGAACGTTGAAAGCGAGCTCGGGGAACAGAGCTATCCCGTTTTGGCACGGAGGCGCGGAGCCCCCAGGTGCAGCAGTTTTGAGCCAAAATGGCTTGAACCAAGCCGAGTGCCGAGCCAGCGGGAGACGGCCAGGACATGATTGCCGCGCTCGGGATCACGGTCGAGAAGCTTGGCAGCATCCTCGGCGCGCTGGGCGGCAGCGGCGAGATGGTCGCCAAGCTTGGGGGCATGCTTGAGGAGGTGCGCACCTTCGAGAAGGCCAGGAAGGAGGAGAAGGACGCAGAGGCCGCTCGCCTGGCGTCGGAGCGCGGCCAGGCTGCGCCTGTGCCTGCAGGTGCGGCGCCGGGCCCCGCGGCTGCGGCGAGCGCGCCGGCAGCGGGATTCGACGTGCCCAACGCCGACGACGTGGACCTCGAAGAGCTCCGCGCCTTCTTGCGGGGCGCCGGGATGGAGGTGCCAGAGCAGGAGGCCGACGTCCGCGGCCAGGTCCGCAAGCTCGGCCAAGGCCTCGAAGGCTGGAGGGCTCAAAAGCGGGCCAAGGTCTAGGCGCCCTCCTGAGAGCGGAAGCTTGACGATGGTCGTGGCGACAGGCTGCCGCGCTCCACGGGCATCCTCATCGCTGCTTCAGTGGATGGTCTTCTTGCTCTGCTGGAGTGCGACGTCCGCGTCGACGCCGACTGTGGGTACGTCGTGGGCTACGTCATCTACAGGTACGGTGGCGGGCAGCATCATTGCCAACCCGCTGTTCGGCACGCCGGGCGCGGTCAGCCCCATGGGCGGCCCAACCGCTCTTCCCTTTACGCCTGGCTGCAGCTCGTCGAGCCTTGCAATCGGGAGCTGCGCGCCCACGGGCAGCGTTGCTCGCGGGGCCTCCGCGAGGAGGGTGGCCGTTGCCCCCGCTGCGTTGACGCCTGGCTGCGCTCGCGGCGCTGCAGTCGGGAGTGGCCGTGCTGGGAAGCAGGCTGCTCGCAGGGCCTCCGCGAGGAGGGTGGTCGAAGCCCCTGCTGCGTCGGGTGAGCTGGCGAGTGGGGCGGTGCTTGGCAGCGGTGCGGGCCTGGGGGCCCATCCTGGTGGGCGCGGCGGCACCGCTGGAGGCTCTGGGTCTGATGAGCGGGCTGATCATGCATCGGCGCCACCATCGTGCCCCATGTTGCCATCGAGCCCAGTGGAGAAGGGTACCGTGTGCACCCTCAACTGCTCGGAGGAAAAGCAGATGTGCGAGTTTCTCTCGGGCTGCGTGCATACGGTTGTTGGGCTCCAGGAGCACCATGTTCCAGAAGAGCGGCTGGCCGACCTGCAACATTCTGTGCTCGACATGGGCTGGCGAGGCCTCTGGGCTGCTGCCAAGCCGTCTGGACATGGCTCCGGAACGCAAAGTGGCCTGGCGATTTTAGCGCCGGCCCGAATCCTAATCACTAAACCTCCCTTTCTCCCTTCTCCCTCCTTTGCTGATGGACGTGCGTTGGCTGGCCACGTAGACTGGGGCGTGCCCGGTGGTTTCAGATACGTCAGCTTGTATTTGTTTGTCAAAGGAGGGTGGTCTGAGAACAACGCCCAAATTGTACAGGAGCTCTGCTCGTTTCTTGCCCGTTTGAATCATGCCGGCCACGATTGGATCGTTGGAGGCGATTTCAACATGGAGCAATCGGAACTCCTCTTCCCTCCTCCATCCCCCTCCTCCCCCCCTTCCCTCTCCTCCTCTTGGTTGCGCGGGTTGGGGGGTGTCCTGAAAGTGCCACCGGCCACCACTTGTAGACAGACATTGCCAGGGCGCCGCATCGATTATTTCATTGTTTCTCACAAGTTGATTGCGCGGTCCCGTGAGGCGCGAGTGCAGGAGAATGCTGCGACCTTCCCTCACCTCCCTGTCTGCCTCAACCTCTTTGGTCGTGACTTGCCGTTGCTGGCGCGCGAGCTCAAGGCTCCGAGGTCTGCGCCGCGACAGCCAGCAGTAGGATGCCCGCGATTCCCCGCAGATTGGTCTGGCATCGACGCTTTGGTGCGCAAGGCCAACGATAATGAGTCACTGCAGCTCGCCTGGGACGCAGTTTAATCCCAGCTTGAGCTCGAGCTGCTAGGCCGGCACGATATTGTTGGCAGCGCGAGTGCGCCGCATTGTGGCCGGGCAGGGCCAGTAGAATTCATCGCCACTAAGGTCCAGTGGAAGCCCCCGCTGCAGCGAACATACCCTGGCGAACAAGAACGGGCTTGGTCAATCGCCGCCCGCTGGGCCAGGCATTTGCGACGCACGCGCGAAGCTTTGGCGAACGCAGTGTCTCTCCTCCACCACCAGGAACAGCACGGAGTGGCAGCAGGGCCTCTCTATCGCAAGGCCGCCGACATGCTGATTGAACTCACGCGTTTGTTCGCCAACATCCAGCGAGCGGGCAAACTGCAGCGTCTAGATCTCCCTGCGATGGCGTTTTTTTCTGCGAGGGACTTCAATGTTTATTTCGACCAGACTTCGATAGCATGGTCGATTCGATCCTCGCGCGTGCTGGGGCCACTGTGGAGCAGTAGGCCCCCCAGGCAGCGGAGGCCTGGAAGGCCTGGGCGGCTGCTGCATTCAAGGGGGGAGCTAGATTAGCGCATCGATTTTCGAAGGCTCGAGCGGCCCAGGAAGTTTGCGATTCCTGCCATTTGCCCAGGGCGGAAGCCCAGCCTTTCAAGTTGGCTGACCGTGCTATGCGGGAGTGGGAGGGGATTTGGAGCCACCACGGAGTCTCAGCCCCATCCCTCCCGCCGGATGCCAGCTGCTGGGACCCCCTCCCTCCAATTTCTGTGCAAGATGTGCGCGGCGCTTTGATTAAGTTTCCTTGGGGCACCGGTGTAGGCCAGTTCGACTCTACCCCGCGTAGTCTGATCTTCGTGAGTGACTCTGGGCTCCAGGTGCTCGCCAATCTTTGTATGAAGTGCGAAGAGCTGCTCATTTGGCCCTCGGATCGTTTGTTGACTCAACTTGTCAGGCTTCCCAAGGCCTCAGGCGGATGCCGGTTTATAGCCTTGCTCCAGAC